TGGATAAACGTGTAGAAAAAAAAAATTGCTCGTTCATCGAGAAGACCACAAGAGGCATAACAGGAGGTGAACCGACCACAAGCTCACACTCATATTATTCGGAGATGAACAACACTGTGAACGACTCTTGGTCCACGCCATTGCATTTGCACATGCCATCAGCGCTAGGGAGCACGAGTGCCGAGCTTTGTACAGTGTAGTTCGCTGCGGACGGTTGGGCGTGTCAGTGCGGCTGCGTTTGGCGCGGTGCCAAACTCGTTCTACACCAGTTGTTGAAGCGGGCAAGTGACAATACTGTATCATATCCTTCGTATTACTCGTTTTCTACCACTTTTTGTCGCATGCGCTCTTCAACAAGAAGGCAGAGAACGGCTTTGATAGGGTGACACACTCATACTGGCTGACACGCCCAACCGTCCGCAGAGAACTAGAGTGTATGTCTTTTGGTAAGAACCCATAGTTGGACTTTTTCCTCTCTAACCAGGTTGATTGGTAATCGATGTTTTTAGAGATGATATTCAGAGCAGGCATGACATAGAAACATTGTAGAACTCGCCCGAACGCTGTCAACTTCGTATAGTTCTCTGCGGACAGTTGGGCGTGTCAGCCAGTATGACTGTGTCACCTGCGAGTGTTCGAGCCTGGTATCCTTTCCCTGGCCAGAGGTGCCGGAAACACTCTACGCGCTACATCTCGGTTCTGTATAAGGCAGCCTTCTTCCAGTCCGAATCTCTCTGTCTTCGTTGGATTTTTCTTTGTTCTTTTGAAGGGCCTGTTTGTGAATTTCAGTCATTGTGCTTAGTCTTACTCTGTATAATAGTACAAGGCAGATCCGAATGGAATAATACAGAGGGGAGGGGCAGGGTGCTAGTCGGCTAGTGGCGCCATTATACAGTCCTTGTTCTGAGCTGGAGCAACCATATTCTTTAGCCCCTAGCGTTAGTCCCGCGTCCGTCGCTGGGGCCTCTGTTCTTGTTAGGCGTCGCCACTTGTTCCGATTCCACTGCATCTTCTGCCGTGGCTTTCTCATCAGTGAGGCTTTTCTGATGGCGTCCGTCCACCTTTTCTCTGGGAGTCTTCATAGTTCCTGCCGGGGTGGTTATATCAGAGATATAGTCTGGATCACAGCGGATGAAGGGCTTGGCCGGCGGTATGGGTATGGCGCGGCGCCAGTCCCGTTCTCTGCCAGTTGTTGAAATGGGTGAACAACAATTGATGAAAAGTCCACTGATATGAACCATATATAGTCTTGTCGCTTGTTCTCTTCAACGACTGGTTGGAAAGGTTTGGCCTCGCGCCATACTCATCCCACCTGGCACGCCCCTTCATCAGCAGCGAAACAGAACAAGGATTTTTATCTAGATCAAGAAGGGAAGAAAGTCTTGAGTGTTGAGCGGTACCTTTCTGCAGACGGGGAAACACTCTACGGTACATCGGTTTTGTATAAGCAGCCTTCTCCCATCGCCATCTCTCTTGGTTTTCGTTGGGATTTTTAGTTTTTGAAGGGCGTTTGTGAATTTCACCATTTTTGTTAGTCTACTTGCCTCGTTGAAAAGGCTAGTCTATTGACTAGTTGCCCCTGTTTTGCTTTCGATGTCTAGTTCGTATTTTGAAATTCCTTGTGGGTTACTACTTGTTTTAGTGCGAGCAGTAGATTTCAGCTACCTTGCACTGTCGGTCAGGAAAATGTGGGGCATAGAAGTTTCGCGCTGACTCATACTGTGCAAGGTCATGTTTATCAAGGTTTGGGAAGGGTTATAAGTAACCGGGACGAGCGGACAACTGTTATTGAAGTTTTCGTGTTCCACTGTAATGTAGGGCCTTATAATTGTGCACAGTGTCATTTTCTCCTTTTCACTGTAGTCCAAGGCGTTGACATTTGTTTATGCGATTTGTGAGGTCAAAGAATTTGTTCGCCTGCGCTGTTTTCCACGGAATATCC